AATGAAGATCCTTGGCGTAACTTTTACAAGAAACCTCTTATGGAACGACCATATAAAAACGGTTACAACAAAACTTAGTAGTGTACATAACTTACTCAAAGTAATATGCACAAAAAAAAAGGGACCCCATATTGAAACAGCACTGAACATATGCCGATCACTATCAGAAGGAGTAGTACAACACTGCATCACCCTCTATGGACACACCTCTGAGGCCAACAAAAATAAAATAAACGTAGCTTTAAACTCCTGTTTCAAAAAAGCAGCCGGATTGCTGATGTCAACGCCAATACAAGCTGCCAGAGTGGAAGCACGCTACGATGATTTTCAATGGTTAGTCCACAGTCGATCAGCAAAATTAGCAGCAAAGGCCATCACAACAGACACTCATGCTCTACACGAAGCTTTCTGGAACGGGCTAACAAGCCGTCGACTTACCAATAAAAGTTTTAGAAGCACCTGCGGAGTTCAGGCTATAACCAAATACCTGTTGGACACCCATACGCCTATACCACCAAAACCACCAGACAAGCTTTCAGCACATGTCAACTTGTCAATCGACACTTCAATGAGTTGCTTTAAAAAAGACAATACTCCGGCGACAGTGTATAACACATCTTTGCTGGCTTACAAAGCAGACCACCCCTCTGATGTATTTTACTATACTGATGGATCTCTACTTGAAGGAACGCCGTCATACGGTGTAGTAAAACAGCTTCCAGATGGAACTTTCCAAACAATACGTCAAGCCCTACTCTCTCCATATGCTGGGATCTTCAACGCTGAGTTAGCTGCAATAAAATTCGCTGTCCACCACGCTGCAAAATCCAACAGACCAGCCGCCATCCTCTCTGACAGTTTGAGCGTACTAAAATCAATAGCAGATAGAAACAGCGATTCACGAAGGTACATACTGAGTGGTGCAAATATAAACAATGAAATCCAATTATTATGGATTCCAGGACACATGGGAATACCAGTCAATGAACTAGCAGACAAAGCCGCTAAACAAGCATTTAGCATGCCACTTGTGGCTGAGATTCCTTGCCTGACAACCGCCATAACAAACTTCCAAAGATCGCATCTCAGAACAATAAGAGACAGATTATGGGAAGCCTCCAACTGCTTTCTACGAACGCACAACAACGAGTACGGCCGGCCAAACTACCACGAAAGTATCACTCGGGGAAACTGCATCTTGATAGCCAGAATGAGAGTAGGTGTAACGATATTTACATCTGAGCACTACTACAATAATAGCACGCAACAGCAATGCAGTCATTGCAATACAACATTAACTATAAAACATATTCTAACGGATTGCCCTATATCAGGATCCAACACTAACTTGGCCACAGCTCTGGACTGCAGCAAAGAGAATACAACAAAACTGCTAACAGATGCCCTC